AGAACTTCTACACGGTGGTGTTTCCCCTACACTGCATGGATCTGAGCGCTATTTGGAGAACTTTGGCGCTCAGATCAGATATAATTTGTGGGGGTTTCTATTTGTTTTGTATGTATTTTGATATTTTATGTTTTTATGCCGAGTCACTCTGAAACAGGAATTTGTGGACACTTTGTGGGAGTGTTCTGGGCGTGTTTTATGGCATCCTTGTTTTGTATATAAGTGGCCCACTTATAAATTGGCCAGATTAAACAAATTTGTTTCTACCCTTCATCAAGTCTAGGCTGATATTTAGGGAATTGGGAGCTATAGTCACTGCTTCACTGGGGATTTGGGAGAACTACAGCGGATATACTCAGTCGGAGTATAGAGGATCCGTTACACTGTTCAATCACAATGCGCAATGCAACTCAATGAGAAGTCTTTGCAGGACAGGTGCTCTGGGCAGTTACTGCCTCTCGAGTTTATCTCCACTGAGCTAACCAAACCAGGAAGTAAAAGGACCTGTTGTCTGCTTGAACGCCAAAGGCGTGTAACAAGGCTAATTTTTAAAAGTGTCAATTTCTATTAAAATCTTTTTCCAATATAAAAACAAAAGAATACATTCTGTTTCTTTGAAGCAACTACAATGTATTGAAATTCCAATGCAATCAAAAGATATAATAATACCAAGTTGGAAATACTTTGTTTTATGGGCAAACCTGAAATGGACAAAATTTGACAAAACACAGAGCTTCCATTTGTAAATTTTGTTATTTCCTATAGCTTTTGTTACTAAACCTTGGTCTATAGAGTTTTGCAGAATCCTCAATAGACATCATTCTTGTATCCTTGCACATGCGCAAGAGCACATTACTAACATGGGGCAACAGGGCAGACATGTAATTGAGATGTGTATTGCATTTATTTGACAAGAAAAGAATCTAACTATAAGGCTGTGGGTTAGGCACAGCAAAATAGTTAAAGGACCACTATAGGCACCCAGAACACTTTAGCTCAATGAAGTGGTCTGGGTGCTAGGTGCCTCTAGTTTTAACCCTACAGCAGTATGTTTACACTGAGGGTTAATCCAGCCTCTAGTGGCTGTCTCACTGACAGCCACTAGAGGCCGCTTCCACGATTCTCACTGTGAAAAGACGCTGACGTCCATTTAGCGCTGACGTCGGCGGTAGGAGGAGAGTTTGCCAGCGCAGAGGGAGCCCGGTGCTGGAGAAAGGTAAGTGGCTGAAGGGGTTTTAACCCCTTCAGCCCAGCGGAAGGTGGGCCATGAGGGTGGGGGGGACCCTAGGACTACATAGTGCCAGGAAAATTAGTTTGTTTTCCTGGCACTATAGTCAGGGCCGGATTAAGAGCACAGTGGGCCTGGTGCTGACTAGTGATGTACCGAACGGTTCGCCGGCGAACGGTTCCTGGCGAACATAGCATGTTCGCGTTCGCCACGGCGTGCGAACATATGCGCGGTTCGACCCGCCCCCTATTCGTCATCATTGAGTAAACTTTGACCCTGTACCTCACAGTCAGCAGATACATTCCAGCCAATTAGCAGCACAGCCTCCCTAGCAGACCCTCCCACCTACTGGACAGCATCCATTTTAGATTCATTCTCAAGCTGCATGCTTAGTAAGAGGAGGGAAAGTGTAGCTGCTGTTCATAAGATAGGGAAAAGTATAGCTAGGTTAGGGATAAGGGTATGCTTTTTTTGGATTTTTTTTTTCTATCTAATGTAAATGCACTTAGTTGTCTGCCACTGCTGCCAGCTTCTGTGTCAGGCTCACAGTGCATACTGTGCCCATTTCCCCAGTCAGTGCCACCAATTACATCTGGTGTCACAACAGCTTGGATTTAAAAACAAAAAACTTTTTTCACTGTTATAGATTGAATAGCAGTCAGTTGTCTGCCACTGCTGCCAGCTTCTGTGTCAGGCTCACAGTGCATACTGCGCCCATTTCCCCAGTCAGTGCCACCAATTACATCTGGTGTCACAATAGCTTGGATTTAAAAACAAAAAACTTTTTCACTGTTATAGATTGAATAGCAGTCAGTGTCCTTAAAGCGGGTGTGTTACGCTAACAGTGGATACGCTGACAAGTGCCACTAATTAGATCTGGTGTCATAATAGTTTGGATTTAAAAAAAAATAATCTTTTTTCACTGTTATAGATTGAATAGCAGTCAGTGTCCTTAAAGCGGGTGTGTTACGCTAACAGTGGATACGCTGACAAGTGCCACTAATTAGATCCTGTGTCACATTAGCTTGGATTTAAAAACAAAAAACTTTTTTTACTGTTATAGATTGAATAGCAGTCAGTGTCCTTAAAGCTGGTGTGTTACGCTAACAGTGGATACGCTGACAAGTGCCACTAATTAGATCTGGTGTCACAATAGTTTGGATTTAAAAAAAAAATAATCTCTTTTCACTGTTATAGATTGAATAGCAGTCAGTGTCCTTAAAGCGGG